GGGGGGGGGGTTCGGGCTTAGAACGTGGTGTATTTTCGTGTTCACAAGTAGATGGGACTATAGCTGAGTGGAACTTTGCGAGATATGAATATATAAATTTAATATATTGGAACTAGTGAACAAAGAACATCACTGTTAAAGACGCAAATTATGAGGTTGCAAATAAAGGCCGGAGAAAAATTGGGCATGAGTAACAAGAGATAAACTTGGTCTTTGACAAGTCGAAGGAAGGAGGTATGTTGTGAGATATAATTCAGGGGGTTAAGTTTACTTTCCTTGTTTTTCTTTTCAACTCAAAGGCAATGATTATGTCCGTGACTTCTGTATGACAGTGAAGGAAACATTGGATTTTTATAGAAGATCTTCAAGAATTAGATAGTTTGACAGACCATCCCAGGACGGGAATTTAATGACAAATGTTTAGGGTTATAAGTTGCTTGGAAACGGGCACTCTTGTTTTGATAAAGAATAAATTGAAATATTATATAGAATTGTGAATTGGGAGATCTGTGTGGTAATATAATATTTTTGAAGTTTACAGTCGAGCAATGAACTGTACTGAGAATTTTATTTTGTTTTCTAAACAAACTATTAACTTGCTTGATAATAAACAGCTGTCATTTAATAATTGAATGAAGATCTTATTTTATATGCAATACATGTGTGAATTTCATACAAGGGGCCTGTACTCCGTCTCTAGACAGCCAAGTCCAAGAAGCAAGTACTCACCCTCCCCACCCATGACACTTACGACTAGTCAATCACTCCCCCAAGCTCTGTTAGTAGTGTTATGATTATGGGTCACAGCATTGATTTAGCTGGGCTAGCCCACAGGAAAAATTCCTTGACTTTGCACTGCTTTCTGATTTGAAACTCTAATCAAAGTGACAAAATCTCCCCTCCCTACCCCCTAGTTTTGACACAAAGCAAGTCAGCCACTCACCCACAGTTAGGTCTGGGTCTGGGCTCTCTGCTGACACCTAACAAGATGGCAAGCCCCCCTGGTTTTTTTCCGGCTAAACTGGCTTGAACGATGCCTGTGTTTAAGCAAAAACTTAGCGGGCACCTTTTAGCAAAATCACACAGATATAAATTACATGAATTGGTCTTCCGTCCACACAAAACCAGTGAATCTGCTCACTGAAACCGCATCTTTTTAAACCACGTACTCTTCATAGTGGATTAAGGCCGCCTCAACGGTTATAAAATGTACGGTTTCAAAAATGACCAAATTCGTGTGGACTGGGCTTCTAAACTTCAGCATTTTCCCCGATTATTCTACATGCAAATATGCAATGGTCCATCCTGTTACCTGCAAAACAGCATGGTCCGTGAGACCATGATCTCATCATACCTGCCTCGTACCCAGGCCCTTTTCAGGGATTTTCTGCGGTAGTTGCGGTGCAGGGGGTCATGGAAAGCCTTCCCATTTTGAGGCTTTCCCATGATCCTTCGACGCTTGAGAAGCACCTAGAGGTAGGCTTTTGTACAATATGCTTTTGTTTCCCCACTAAAATACTTCACCTTAATGCTCCATTTTTCCCACTGAAACGCTCGGTCAGCCCCAAAAAAGCCACTAAAATGCTCTGACAATCCTTGTCATGCAGAGGCTTTTTTATTAATCGTAACGTTCTAACAGAGTGCTATATCCCTACTCAAATGATATGCATAGTATAATAAAAAGTTTATAACATTTTAAACAGCAAACATTAACTTTTCCCCAGTCTTCGCACTTTGAATTTCAAGTTTTTTCTAGCTTGTCTTTCCCTTTTTTTCTGAAAAAAAAAAAAAATTCCGGGAACAATTAACCCTTATTTTTATTTTCTCTGAAAAAGTCCGGGAAAAGTTCCACTAAAATGCTCGAATAATGCTTAATGCTTTTGCTCCACTAAAATACTCAAAAAAATGCAAGCATAATGTACAAACGCCTAGATAGAGGTTACAAATTGTAACTAGTGCTGAGTGCAGATTCTGGCAGGAAAACATCAACTGAGAAACGATGAACTGAAGGCACAATTCGCTAAGTACAGACCGTTTACGTAAAGTACAGTCGAACCTCTGCTAACGGGCACCTTTTTTTCGTCCCAGCGGACAAAAAATCCATACATTGACCCTTGACAAAGCCTCTCTACAACGGCAACTTTCTTCTGTCTCCAAGGTGGCCGTAGAAGGGGGGTCTAACTGTAGTCCTACAAGTTCCAAAATCTCTCACTTTCAAAACGAGGCTAAGAGCAAAACCCTTCTTATGAAAATGAGGTTTATTTGCGTGAGACTTTCATACCAATAGCTTCACACTTAGCCTCGCTTTGAAACAGAGGCTTGAGGCAACTGGGAAATGGACTATTTATAGAACGCGTAATAAGTGTTACAATTTGAAATTAAGTAATGACGACTAGCAGTAAAACGTTATCTGAAAAATTATGAATCAACAGATACGGAGCCTCCTAAGGGCCGACATACGCATTTTGCTACCTTTCTGGTCAACTGATGATCATTAATAGTTGTGGGTAAAGGACAGCAAGAGACTCCTAAATCACCAAGAACTCAGGTGATTGTATACGTGGGTCTATATTTGCAAGTTTACAGTCATACGAAAATAATTTGAAACCATCTTCGCGCGCCACAATACGCGAAACGTAACGCTATTAGAACGAGGCAATAAGAGTGTTCGAAATTAAGTTATGATGACACCCACTGGACATACTTGCTTAAAATCATCCTGACAACATAAATATAGATTAGAACGCCTAAATAGTGGCAGGACACCCCTGGGGGGCACTTCCTTATAAGGGGCTAATGGGGAAGTGCCGCTGGATGGGGTCGCATTTTCACGACTGGAATACTGGATTCATAATGGGGTCGCATTTTCAATAGAGTTACTAGAATGGGGTCACACTTTCTCGGATTTTTGGAGTAAGAAAGTTCTTCATATATACGGTTAGCAAACGTACCAGAATGTTTGTACTCTAGGTGAAAAGTAAGGTGTTCTTCATTCAATTTAAAAAATGGGTCAGTTCATTTTAGGACGATGACCCATTTAAAGGATGGATAAGGTAGATACGTAAATAGAAAGCTACTAAGTTGGGATCGCAAAGATTACATATTTGCCCAAAAGTGACTAAGATGGGGTTGGCCACAGAATAGACTATAATGGGGTAGGTACTCTGAGAGGCCAGTGGCACATACCCAGCAAAACTTATTGAGAGTAAACCCCCCGGGCAGGACACACAAGGAGCCACAGGACACCCAAAGATTAGTGTGCTGCTCGCCTGAGGGCTAAAAGCAAAAAAAAAATTCATTATGTCACTTGCATGCAACCAAATTGGGAGGCGTCCTGGGGACTGCGTATACCTCCGGAAAATTCCCAGCAAAGCCCTTGTTTGGGTCCCGCTGTGTTCATGAAACTGAAAATTTAAGTTATTCTTCCGACTTTCTTAGTATACAATGATATTTATTTCTTGGTGAAGAGATCACTTTACTGTCAATCTTACAATAAACTATCCTATATTTTCCTTTACTGTGATAAAAAATATTTACTTAACAAAGTCAAGATTCTAACAACTTCTCCTTATAAAAAGGTTTACAATATTTTCATGCAATGAAATGCGTTATAAATAACTTTGAAGTGCATTCCTAAATCTCTTTTAACCCTATTTAACTTTTTTATTGAATGTATAAATAAAAACAACAAAAAACCATCCTACTGACCTCACAAGGTCAGTAACATTCTTCTTCAGAATTATTAGAATCACGTTCTGCAAAGCAAAAACTGTCTTTCGTTCTTCTTATATAAAGCATTTGTGCTGCTCAAAGGATCACCTTGCCCCTGTATTTGAGCTACGTATTAAGACAAGGAAATTAAAATATGAAAGAGGTCTAGAACTATACTATTATTATTTACCTTTTGGTACAGTTAAAATTTTGTGGGTCTTTAAGTTCATGTTGTCCTTAATTGTTACCATAGCGAAATTAAAGACCCACAAATAAAAGTCATTGCAAAATTTAATGCCCCTCTTTCATAGTTTCCTATTTAAATTGCAAAAATAAAACTCTGTGACATTTCTCACCAAAATCACGAAATTTAATACCAATATAAAGGTATTGCATCCATTTTAAAATCACTGGTGATCCTTGCAATCTGATTCGCTTCCATCAGTGTGATTTATTCATGAATTACACTATTTTTTGTTCCACATACAAAATAGATGGAAAAGAGTTTCCAGTTCCGATTTCAATTTTTTGTACTGACTGAATTTAGTGATTTAAAAATGGCTGCACTAAAGTGGTATTCAAACTTCGTCTCGTGCAATTCTGGTCTGAAATCATACTTGTGATTTCAAATCTAACTCATGCTACACGCTTGTCTGATCTCCAAATAACGCATATGATATTTCAGACCAAATTGCACTCCATTTAAGTTGAATCACCATATTTTCAATTGTTTCCATTATATATAGATAAGCTGTACTATCTCTCGCTGACAGCTACAAGGTCAACAGAGGATGAAAATCCCTGTAGTGCATCTAGCGATTTTCCTGCTATCTTTGTAGCTTCCATCCCCTGTGCTAATGCATCCTCCCAAGGAGCTGTTCCGTTTGGCCCTGTTGCAGTGGGTGCTGTCAATGAAAAAACCAATTATTGTAACAAATATGTGAGTATTAAGTGAATTTGTTTTATCTGCCCACCCACCCCTCCCTCAATCTAACATTTTCCCCTAAGTAAGAAGTTAGTGTTAAAGTTGAGTTGGGGAGGGGTGAGTGAGAAGTTTGTCTAACTCTTATACTGATCCTAATTAAGGTCTTTCTGAATAGCAGTTTCGGTTCTGGATGAGAAAGGAAGAAGATACGAGTCCAATAGCTTAATGTTATGTAACTGTCTGATCATGAGACCATTACTAATGGCCCCAGAAATTTGGCAAAGAAACAAACTTAGAGCAATTTGTAGCTATTTTCTGGTCACTTATCTTGCTGAAACAAATCAAGGCAGAACTATACCTACTAAGTGAAGACAGCATAGAATTCAGTTTGTCACTATTACAAGTTTACATTGCAATTAATGCTGGATTTTCATTCTGAAGCCAAAACAACTTGGTCTGCACGATCTTGAAAGTTTAGTAGTCATCTCGAAAAGTCCTTGAATTCAGTTAAGGTCTTTTAAAAAGACTTGATTTCATTATTAGGGCTTAAAAAGTCCTTGAAATTCACTACAAGCTTGTTACACCACACCATTTTCTATAAAATTAGATTATTTATTTGGCTCATCCCAGGTGTAAGAACCTGTAAAACTCATGGGTATTTGCAAAAACATTTTCATGTATGAACAATATCTTATTTCTGTTTCTTTTAATATTTCAAATGCTATTTCTATACCACAGATGTAGCTGCAGGTCATGCTTAATGACTGTTGTCATTTTGAAAAGTGTTGTTACGGAAAGTGACAGCGTTTTACCCAATAAGGTGTTCAAAAGGGGATTAAAGAATGCCAATTTATTGAATAAATCTTGGTCCTTAAAAACTGTAATTTTGTACTTCAGAAGTCCTTAAAATTTGTTTGTCTGATGTTGTATGAACCATGCAAAATACAGTTTTCAAAGGTTCCTTAATGCAAGTCTAAACTTACAAGCAAAGGGACTATTTCCAAGAGATCTTGCTTTTACTTTTTCCAGGAATGCATCAAAATCCTCAACATCCAGCTCAGTACTAAAGCAAAGTAGAAAATTCAAAGTCCAGTGAGATACATAGAGGATATTACATGACCACATGGAGGTACAAAAGTGAAGGTATGGAATGGTAAATTCGAGNAAAGACTTGATTTCATTATTAGGGCTTAAAAAGTCCTTGAAATTCACTACAAGCTTGTTACACCACACCATTTTCTATAAAATTAGATTATTTATTTGGCTCATCCCAGGTGTAAGAACCTGTAAAACTCATGGGTATTTGCAAAAACATTTTCATGTATGAACAATATCTTATTTCTGTTTCTTTTAATATTTCAAATGCTATTTCTATACCACAGATGTAGCTGCAGGTCATGCTTAATGACTGTTGTCATTTTGAAAAGTGTTGTTACGGAAAGTGACAGCGTTTTACCCAATAAGGTGTTCAAAAGGGGATTAAAGAATGCCAATTTATTGAATAAATCTTGGTCCTTAAAAACTGTAATTTTGTACTTCAGAAGTCCTTAAAATTTGTTTGTCTGATGTTGTATGAACCATGCAAAATACAGTTTTCAAAGGTTCCTTAATGCAAGTCTAAACTTACAAGCAAAGGGACTATTTCCAAGAGATCTTGCTTTTACTTTTTCCAGGAATGCATCAAAATCCTCAACATCCAGCTCAGTACTAAAGCAAAGTAGAAAATTCAAAGTCCAGTGAGATACATAGAGGATATTACATGACCACATGGAGGTACAAAAGTGAAGGTATGGAATGGTAAATTCGAGACTTTGTGAGACTGCAATTCCAGACTGAAATTGAGCCTCTGAGGCACAAAATCACCTAAAAATGAGACTTCAAGACCCATCACAATCACTTCCGAGATGTTGAGGTTGGGCCAATATTTTCCGAGACCCACATTTTTTGAGGAACCATTCTATGCCGCTAAAGTTTCTTTCAAGTGATGAAAAATATTTCATTCAAGTGAGTACAGTGAACAACATGAGAAGAGAAATTTGGTATCTCCAAGTGGCCAGGTAATGTTACATTAATAATTACTATTTATTATATAAACACCAATTAATGACATACTAAACAATTTCACATTTATAACATTTTTTCTGCAAAACGTGTGATTTATTATGCAGCCCTCGCGACAGTGATCTTTTCAAATGTGAAGATAACATTATTTTCATGTGTAAAGAATCACATGAAAATAACATGTTATCTTTATATTTGAAAAGATCACTGTTGCGCGGGTTGCATAATAAATCACACGTTTTGCAGAAAAATATTATAAATGTGAAATGGTTTGGATTATCATGTTTTCATGCACAAGCTCACCTTGTATTTCATTGGTGTAAAAATGCAATATTACATGATCAGTGGGTTAATACTGATGACAAATAAGAAAATTTTACGTACCTGTCTACACTAACAGTATCATCTGATAACAAACAAGACAAGGATGAATCATCCAGGAAGCCCCTACGAGTTCTGTTCTCCTTTTCTTTGGCAGCTTTCATTTCCTGTAGTAATTTGAAAAAAAATATTTAAAATTAATGCTACTTTTTCTCAAAAAATTTGAAGAAAACTAAAATCAAAGATCACTTTCTCTGGGGACAGTACATGCAAACACTGCATTTTTAAAATTATGAGGGTATGTACCTCCATCTGCCTAGCTTGCTTCGCCACTCGTGCAGCCTCTCTCTTTGCTTCATAGTAGGCCTTCAACAAAATAGCACAAACAAATTTAATTCAGTTGAACCTCTCCACAACTGCTACCTTTAGGACAACCTACCTTTATGGAGAGATGGCCTGGCATTATGGGGAGGTAGGGGAGTAATATGACACCTTCTTTTTTGGGGAGGTGGGGGGGGCAACAGCATGTTTAGAGTGCCAAGTTCATGCTTATAGTAGCCTACGATGGTAATTCATATACTACATGAAATTACACAATAAAATTTAATGTTTTAAATCAGTTCAAGTTTCGTGACCATTCTTGACTTTTTCAATGAGGATGAACTTTAATGGCCATTGCTGTTATAGAGAAGTGGACATTTTAGAAAATAAATTAAGGTTTTTATTTGGAGTCAATGTATGGACTGTCCTTTGGGACAAAAAAAAATGGCTGATGTAGAGAGGTGGCCATTAGTGGAGGTTCAACTAGTTGTATTTATTTAACAAAGGAAATGGACAACCTGTAAGTTTAATGTTACTGCTAAAAGCATAATAGTATACTAGTAATAACCAAAGGTAAGAGACTGCAGCTAACAATGATCAACGGTCAAAATGCTCTTGCTGCGCTCGAATGCTGTTTCACGTGATAGATGGTCAAAACAAGCGCAATCAGATGACAAGTAAAAAAAAAATTAAAAAAGGCATACATCTTAGAAAGAGCTGACTGTATTATCATTTGTCTCATGAGTGACATGGTGAAGTCACTTGTGAATTAGATAAATATGTTTCAACTGCTTACTGCGGGTCGTCATCAGGTGAAGAACAAAACAGCAAGATAAAAAGGGGCCAATGACAGCTGTCAGAAACCAACCAATCACAGAAGAACATGTAATCCTAGTCTAATTAACTGGGCCCAGTTGTTCAAAGGCCGATTAACGCTTAACCTGGGGTTAAATTGACCTGGTTTTCTTTTTCTTGTGTTCAAAGCCATTTTCCCAGATAATTTTCTCTCTTATTTTTAGAGTTTCCAATAATCAACTTGAAGACAAAAAGAATGAAAATTGAAATACCTTTTTTGGCTCTCATATTTGAATTCAAATCTTGCGCTAACCCTGGGTTATCTTAACCCAGCTTTGAACAACCCGGCCCCAAAATGGTTTTGTGCTGTCAGTTAAAAGGCAGGTTTGTTGTTGTTTATTTGCTGCAATAACAATTTTATTTTGCCAATTGAAAATAACTAACAAATGTCTTTTTAGATCATACCTCCTCCTCAAGTCGTAAATCATCCTCTTGCCGGGATAACTGTGCGTCGATTTCAGCATCTAACTTCTTCTGCTGTTGAACCAGGTCATTAAATCTCTTTTGACTGATAAGCTCTGTTTCAGTTTCAGTTAAAATTCGTCTGGAATAAAAAAAAATTAAAAATGAGCAATGAAGACCTACACTGTGAATTACCTTTTCAAGAACATACTGAAGAACGCTTTCCAAACATCAGAGATGGCCGGCGACCAGACTGATTATTTTGAAAAGGGAATATTTTATTACAGTCAAACCTCAACTAATGGCCATCTCGCCACAATGGCCACCTCTCTACAAAAGCCATTGTTTAATTTTTGTCTTGGTGGACAGTCCATACATTGACTCTTGTTTAAACCTATCTCTACAATGGTAACCTCTTTATAACGGCCACTTTCTTCTGTCCCCACGGAAGCCATTGTGGAGAGGTTCAACTGTAGTACTTTCTCCATATTTTAACTAAGTTCTATTACTCCTACGCATACTAATTAAGAATGAACTGATCTGGCTTGTTAGTCCTTCTAGTTAATAGTGGAGTTCTCCTAGGACTGGACTGGTCTGACCAGCCAAATCTGGAAAATGCTAACTGAGCTAAGAGTGCCCTGGCATTTCTTGGGAGTCAAAATAGTCATCAATGAATAGACAAACAGAGGGATGGACAGACGGACAGAGAGGGACAAACAGACAGAGGGAAGGAGGGAGGAAGGAGGGAAGGGAGGGTAAGAGGGATGGATGGATGGACCAACAAACTTACCTGGGGCGAGGATTGAAGTCCTCCTACAAAATAAATTAAAAGTGATAAGTTTTCAATTATTAATTCCAAGGCTGTGCTCTAGCAGAACCTGGTGGCCTGGGCTGCCTAACTTTTGTTCTCGCATGACTAGAAAATCTTAGCTCTTTCGTAGAAATCATATGCTGGGCACACTGTATTTTGCAAGTTCAGAGCACTTGGCTCCCTTCAATTTTTTTTAGAGCACAGCCTTGAATTCATATAAAGATAACAATATTAATATAGCGCTACAACTACACTGTATAATATAGTGCACACATTCTGACGCGCTGAAAAACAGTTAACAAACACGATCATAGCATAAATAGTACACCCCGAGGAAATAAAAAATTATAAAACACCCGAATCACTTGACAAGGAAATTACAAACCGAGCAAGAAAGTCTTGTCTGCTTAAAACCCCAAACATTCCGAAGGGTTCTGAATAAATAGAGCTTAAGCGACGATTCCTTTGTTTGCGACTTTTTGTTTCCAGCAATATTCTCATGTATCATTGATGACACAACCATGATTTTCAAATACCCTCTTAATGAAAATCCTTTGGTTGAATACTTGATTTTTTCCTCTAGGATTAAGCTAAAACAAAAAAATACTCAAAATAACATGCTAATAAAGAAATATTACCTCATCTATCAAGTTTTCAAACTGAAAAGGAAGCAAAATACAATCTCAGCATCTATAATAATAATAAAAGAAGCTGATTGCACAAACACAAATTCTTAAAGCATTGTAACAAGTACTATATTTAGAGTAAGCAAAATAATTTTCAGCAATCTGTTGACTTCTTTGTCAATCAAAGGTTTCATGTAAATTCATCTTGCAGATTGCGATTTAGATTCAGGTTTGGCTGCATGAAATAATTTGTAACCATAGTGGCCGGGAAGTCTACACTCTAGCTGGCCACATTAGCCTGAGAAAACAACCCACTTTTTCGTCACCCCACTGATTTCCACTCAAAATGACATATAAGGAATGACTGCAGAAATTCATACTGTATACCTATCACTACCCAGATCCAGTTAGTGCTTCTGATTGGTTGTGTTGCTTCAACCAATCAGAAGCACTACCCAGATCTGGGTGGTCCATGTAATGTCATAAGTTTCAATTAATTTCCACAGTCTTTCCTCAGATGTCATTTCACAGGGAAACCATTGGTGCCGTCGCAAAATGTCAGCTATTTTCTCAGGCTACCACCATAAAACAGCTGATTTGCTCATCATGATCAACAAGATCAAGTGTTCAAATAAACAAAGCTTGCTATTAAAATGCTCGAGACTATTTGACATTTTCATGATGATTTTACAAGAAAATTCTCTCTAGCCCTAGTAGGAACAAATTACTCTTACACGTTAACAGTTTGCATGTCTTTTCACTGTTAAAGTTTGCAAAGGTCTTAGGATGTCAAAACTTGGTGGGCTCCAAAAACTGGTGACATAAGCTTGCTTGAAATATTAAAAAAAGGAAAAGTTTTAAGTACCTCGATACTAAGTTCCTTTTCGCTATATCTTGCACGTCTGTAAGTTCTGTGACAATTAATAAAAACGTCTGATATTAAGGAATGATACGTTTTTTAAAAAACACTGGACGAATGGAAGTTTCAATATATTTTAATAAGCTTAACAAGCTTACACTCTTGCAACAAACTATTTTTCTAAGCTTACCTTCCTCTAATATGAGCTGGCCGACGTAACTTTCGAAATTCTTCACTAAAAATGCCCCAGCATCCTTTCATACAGCTCGCCATTTTAATTTTATCCTATTTTTAGCTCTTTTATCGACATTTTTCGTTTGTTTTCGTGGAGATATTCATATCATATGCGTGGCACATGATCAGCAAAACACACTACCCAGAAGGCCTTGCGTCGAAATCTAAAACTTCGGAGAACGAAAAAATAAGTCAACAAAAAAAACGTTCACGCAGAGATAAAAAGTTAAAACATGTCATTGAATCAAACATTAAAATGTACTTTTTTCAAAGAATTTGAAGAAAAGTAAAATCAAAGATCGCTTTTTCTGGGGACAGTACATTTGGCATATATGCACAAACTTCACTACCGCTGTACTTATGCAATCGTTGCTAGTTTGGAGACATTCCAGTGTAACCTATACGAAGAAGTTTTTTAAAAAAGAAAGTCCAAAATTCTTCAAAGATGGCGGTTTGTACGTGAGACTTGATTTAGCGAACAAAGGAACAAGAAGTTATGGTTTACTTTGACTCCTGGGATGAATTTGCAGCGGCTGTTGAACAGCTATGCATCGCTGAACCTAATAAGGTAAGAATAATTTAATTCTGGCAAGTTTTTCGAAGCCAGCGTTTATTTATATTTCACTGCACGTGTTTAATTTTTTTACGAAGATACTTCAAGATGACTTGTTGTTAAGTGATCTTTTCTTTATTTCAGTTTCGTTTTGTTATAAAGTATCGTCATTGCGATGGAAAACTTGTGCTCAAAGGAACTGACGACCAAGTTGTGAGTATTTATTTCTTTGCTACAAAAGTGTGTCACACAGTCCAAAACACGGAACACCGAACTCATTATTGAAAGTAAAAATTAATACTGGTTTTCAGCCCAGTTGTTAGGTTTACTTATTTTATATATCTGTCTATGTAGCAAGCAGGTCACTCGCTCAGTACTTAGCATTTAAGGCCGCACTTAAAAAATTGTGAAAGTTTTGAATGCAAAGTACTGAAGTGTAAAAAAAATTTGAAATGGCATTTTAACAGTGCAACTTCTGCTAGACACAGGTGACCAATCAGTTTACAGGAAAATAACCGTATATACCGAGAAAGTTACATGTCAATCATAATTACTTGGAAATAAAGTAAACAACAAGGATCGAATTTAGCTAGATTAAGAATACCTGTCCACTTACATTGAACCAAGAAAATCTGCCACCACAGTCCCACAGTAGTCTATAATTTGTTTACTTATTTCAATAAACAAAGCAATGAAGTGAAACAAGCACACTATACGTATGTACATCTCATGTATACCTCATGTCTTTAATCTACAAATCCCAACCACCGCGGTTTGAAATAAAGCTGCAACCTTTGTACTAAACTTATTGGGCCAAATATTAAAACATAATTTAGTCAGTGTTTAACAAAACATCACTAGCTCTTAAAACATCTAACTCATTTTCAATTTGCCCAACGATTTTATCTAAACATCATTTATTGTGAACAGTTTTATGAAAGCACATAGAGAAGACTAGAAAAGCAGTAATCTTCTTAAAACAACCCACCCAAGAAGTGATCTGGAGGTTCAAAGATTCGTTAAACCGTGGTTTAAGTTAAACTTCATTTAAATATTTGGCCCATTAACTGGCAATTTTGAGACTGCAGTTTAACTTCTTGTTCTTAACATTCTTGTTCATTGACTACGGGACTACAGACCAAGGTAACAGTCCATTTAACTGCTTGTCTTTAACATTCTTGTTCGTCATTTTCATGTAACTGCTTGTTTTTAACATTCTTATTCAACGACTTCGGGACCACAGTGTCAAGGTAGTAGTTCTGCTTCTAAGACTTAGTGGTCAGGTATTCCATAATTGCCCCCTTCTTTCTATTTTGCAAAACACATTTACTTAACAATCTGGGACAACAGTCTCCCTCTTCCCCAGACAATATCGTTTTTGGGCCATGGCATCAATTAAAGGAAATTACTTGTGAATGTTTAAATACAAGACTTGCCGAGATGGAGAAAAAGGTGAATAAAAACAAGTGAAAAAGACACCATACACGTTTCCAGGGCTAAGTACCTCTAGTATTCTATCACCAATCGTATGGAAAGGAGCGTTAATACTTAGCCCCAATAAGCACACACAAAATAATTCTCAAGACTGATCTTCATACATTTCAGAAAGAATTAGCTGAGACAATTTGATGAATGACCAAAGCATTTCCCCTTTGGTGACTGTTGTATAAATTCTCTTAACCTTTTTGCCTGATTAAGTATTGTTGATGTAAGGAGAAGATAGATGTTGGGCACCCTTGGAACTGAAGGGTTAAGTAAAAGTATGCTCTTTTTCTCCTTAGCCAGGGGCATCGCCATCTTTTCAACTAGTTGTAGGCCTGGCTGACTTTCATTTCCACATATCCTGAAAATTGCACCCATGACTAGTACGCACTGACCTCACCAACACCAAGGCTGTGCTCTAAGGAAATTGAAGGGTGCCCAGTCCCCTGAAACTGTAAAATCTAGGATGCCTAACATATGATTTGTATGAAAAAACTAAAATTTTCTAGTCGCCCGTGAGCACTTCAGTCACTGATCAAACCAAAAATTTGTAGGTGTAAGGGCTGGCTACGCCCCTGTTGCACTTGTAACACAGGGGTTTCAATAAAAATTGAAGTAGCCAGCGGTTTGGATAGAGTAACCGGCTGTATCAACAAGGGGCCGTTTGTCCCTTTTTCTATGGAAGGAGGGGAGGAGAGTCAAAGCGCATTCCAGCCCAGAAAATTTTGAAATTTCAAAGCCCTAAAAATGTGATTTTCAGTGTTCTGGGGACTAAATTTGAGAACAAAAGAGCGTGTTTCGTCAGCCGTCGGTGCTTATTGAAACCCGTGGTAACACATATCACTTTATCCATAATAATTATTATTTTCTCTTACTCTTTCAGTGTTTGAAATATAGGACAGAACATCAACAGGACATCAAGAAACTAGAGAAATTAAACAGTGTTTTAATGAGGCATGCGGTTGCCAAATAACAGTAAAAGTTCCTGTTTATTTATATCAACAACAATAACAGAGCAAAGAATGTTTTACCGAGATATGACGGAAAGGATCCCAGTGCAAGTCAGATCAGTAAAAAATGTGAAAAGAAAAACAATGTATTTTTGTTCACAAATGACTGTGTAATAATGATACCTTCCATCATGAATTGTAATTTGAAATAAAAATTAATGTTATACTCATTGCATTCTTATGATTCGTGGGAAAGCGCTAAATTCACTGTTGTAGGTTGTTTGTCATTGCTTTGTTGCTAGGCAGCTGGTGGACACCAACCACATATATACACGCACCTCAAGAATTGACTCATGACACTAATTCTGACGAACTTAATAATTAAAATTATAGACCGGAAAAATATTTTTAATCAGGACACAATGATACTGGCAAACATACACTTCACCTTTTTATTTTTTCACCACACAGTATCTTCTTATTCTCCGAGATGTTATAAAAATAGTTCTCTTGGTTACAAAGAAAACTAACAAAATAATTGTTGTTTATTCCTACAGTCCTCTCCAACAGCATGTTCTTCTGAAGTACATGCACCTTTTCTGAAAGAGGTACACGTGAATGATAAACTATCTGATAATTATACATTTTGATGAGGCAGTGTCACAAAGAAAGCTATTTCTGGAATCAAAATACAACAGAAATTGCTGTATTTAAAGATCAGATTCTACACAGATTTAAGTCATTAGTATAGCATTTCTGTCACTCCAGTGCAGAATATCCCTAATGGAGAGGAGCAAGGAGAGGCTACTGAGGACCGGAATAGGTTACTGCGTTGAAACATAAGTCGGGCCTTTTTTTCATAATGCTAGCATAATAGTTCCACCAATATCTGGATGAATTCCCGTGATACTGCCCCTTCAACACCCTGCTATTTTGCAGGCAATATATGTTACATATATAGCCAAAAAGTACGATACCCTAATGATAAGCAAAAATAAGCAATATCAAAAATACAAAATTTTGAACATAACAAAACAGCATAGGCCCTAGCCTTACATTCAATTATAACGTTTGGAAATGAAACATTTTGCACAGGAAGAAAACAAGACAGGGCTGACACTACATTCCCTGACAAAGGGTGACAAAGACCTCAAGGCTAACTCTCTGGCCAAGACTTATCTCAGTGTAGCCTATGAACAGGTTCACTTGTGCCAGTACAGTGAAAATTTTGGCCACAGAGCTACCAGTGTCAGCTAGCAAGGCCAGTGAAAAGAATGGTGTGAGGAAATGCCTCTTTCTTGCCCCATTGTTCTCATTGATGAAGCCGTCTCACACTGACTGCTATGCCCCAAAAATATTTCCCAAACACACACAAGCTGGTGAGCCTGATCACAGTCTAATCTCAGTGCAGCCTCAGCCCTGCTGGCCCAGATCTTGATGTAAAAAGAAAAAATAATGGGGGCAGGGGAGGGGAGATCCCCCCCCCCCCTACTGTAGATCTCCAACTGAAGAACTACTGTTACTGTAGTCAACATAAACTGAAAAAATATGTCACCCATAATAACTATATTGGAAAAAATCAACTGAAGTTTATATGAAGGCAATAATTTAGGACTATGTGCCTCCTCAGTCTCCAATAGACATTTCAAGGAGAACAATACAATTTTTTTCGTAAAACTATGAATGCATAAATGTAAACCATGTCTATGTTAAAATGTAAACATGATGAATGAAGTGAAAATTGTTTAACAGTGAGTTTTACTTTGGACTAGACCGATATGAATTTAGAATTTACCATCTCACTTGCATGTGTTCCCAAAAATCTCACTCACTCTTTGCTGACAAGTGTAAACTGTATGAACTCTGAACTTAAATTAATATTAACACATTCTCACACTCGACATCGTACTTGTGGTCCAAATTAACTTAAAAATCCACCAATCCCTCTAAATTAACTCCTGGTAAAAAAAATAAAAGTAACTCTTGCAAGGCCAAAAATACAAGTCAAAACAATTATTACAAGCAAATTTCCAAGAATGCTTCATGAAAAATCAAGACCTCCCAAAAAATTGTAAGTTCATACAGTTAACAGCTAGATTACAATGGATCAGCATTACTTTAAAACAATGTCACTAAATATTATTGACACATGTCTAGTAAATCCTGACTTGTAAACAAAAAAAATGGTAATTGCAACTAAAAGAAAATAAATGTTTAAAAATGCATGTAAAATACACTTCCAGCATTTGGCATGCAGCCATTAAAGTTTTGAAACGATGTAAACCACATTAAAATGGCAAACATTAATGTCTAATATTGGGCCAAAATACCACGTATGAAAAAATATAAAACGTTGGTTGGTTAGTGCATGAATAAAATAATAATATATTAATTATTTAGTAATTTTTTAGATAGTCTGTACCCTGGAATGAAGCTGTAGACGTACACATTTATAATAATATAACTTTTTGAATAATAGATATTTTTGGTCATATTAATGGCCATTTTCGTTCTTGAGAGAAACATCTTCCACTACTCTAAATGAGGTGAATGTGTATTAGGTGGCTGAACACAGTTTTGGCAGTTTTTGAGTATACTGAAAGTCATTTGCCAAATCATGGCAAGAGAAAGGTTGCAGCTCGCAAGCTGAAACTTGGTAAGGGAAAAATATACTAACGAAAAATTTTGATTGACAGGTAAAATGTGACGTTTTTGCAGTTTCCATAGCAACATGAACGATTGAATACAACCTTAAAATTCCACTTTTGGTCAGTTTGAATAAAATTCATTTATTAGATTTTCCTACAAACTTGCACACAGCTTACTATAAACTGTTATTTGACAACTTTTAACAGACGGGTTTTTAGATAATCAATAATATAATAATTATTGTTCTGTAATTATTAACTGTGTCACAAAATTTGTCTGTTCAACTTCCATTTTAAAGTTCTCATTTTAAAATATAAAAGCAAAAATTCTGCCAAATATCACAAAATTTAGTAGATTTTGATAAATCGTCTTCCGTGTACGATTGCTTTTTTCGCTGCCAAGTTTGTTTGTCTAATTTAAAGCATGTGCCATCACGCAAGTTACCACTGACCACCCGCAAAACTACGTTCAGCCTCCTTAAGCTCTGACGAGATGTAGACTTAATGTAAAGAGGGGGGCCTATTTATTTGTGATGCTATATTTAGTCTTAGCACTAGTGCAGTAACATTACATTCACTTAAAAAACTCAGTAATAATTATTCATAAAGAAAAAAAACGAAATTAATGTGTAGTGAGTGTCACTCTTTATACCTGATAAAGACACGGCTAAACTTAACGTTCAATTTTTAACACCAAAGTAACCCCAAATCTAAATATCAGTGCAAAAAGATATATAGTATATAAAGATATAGTTGATCTATATCAGAGCCTTTGAAGCCATTCAAAAAACTCGCAGTCGTGCAAAAAACTCAAAAAAAAAAACTCGCAGTGCTTATACTGTTTTGAATTTTACTTAATATATTACGAAGAATTTATTTAGCTGGATTAAACCTTAATTTTCAGCTGCTTAATGTATGTTAATTTTAATTCCATTATTTCTAACATTATTTTATTGTTTTGTGTTTAGCGTAAACATTTAGCTTCTAGCTAGGTGATAAAGGGGTATTTTTATCAAGTATATTATATTTTNTTAATTTTCAGCTGCTTAATGTATGTTAATTTTAATTCCATTATTTCTAACATTATTTTATTGTTTTGTGTTTAGCGTAAACATTTAGCTTCTAGCTAGGTGATAAAGGGGTATTTTTATCAAGTATATTATATTTTTATATGTTCTACTCTGATCAGACCAAGTGACATTTTTCCCAAGTACTATTTTATGATAATTAGGATTGGTCAGTATGTTTTAAATGTTAATGCAAATGATAGAGTCATATACTGGTGTTAACAAAAAAGGGATCTTAACCCTTAAACCCCAAGATCAAAATATGAATTCTCATTTGTTGCCCACATTCATTTCCTACAGAAGTAGTGGGGAGAAGTTGATAAAACATCAAGCAAATTCATCTTGTGTGATCATGTCCGTAACTCTCATAACCACTCTGTTTTACAAAGAACTGATATTACAAGGCGAAATTTGATGCTGATCACTCTTAGGGTTTAAAGGGTTAAATGGCTGTAAAAAAATTTCCCACCAACAAACTGAATACAAATTCCTTCTGGATCAGTTTAGCTTTAAAAGTTAACCCTTTCACTCTCAGGAGTGATCTGCATGTAAGTACTTTTCCCTGTAATATCAAAACAATGTCCTGCAGACAGGTGACGAGAATCGACAAATGTATCAGCTATAGAGGATGTTATCTTGACACAACTTTCAATTCTCTTAAATAACGTATAAGGACATGATAGCAGCCAGAAAGAAGAATTACTAGTCAGATTTTGAGAGTTAAAGGTATAATGGGATACCGGTAATAATATTAATGTTACTCATAAAATGCATACATTTGTTACTCTTTTGTAAGTTTTCGAAAGTTTGGATAAGTTTGGTAGGTATATATTTGCTCTGAGGAATAATCAGTGGGCCTCAAACTTTTATGATTTGTAAAGAAAAGATCACTTATTATCTCACACATATAAATTCTTATTCTTTGCTATTTGTAAGTTTCCTGACATTATCATTAAAAATAACATTTAAGAACTTCAGTCATAAGAAAATTGAAAATTGCTTCTCTTACGAGATTAAGAAAAAGATAAAATTCTGACTAGCTATCGACTAAATTATCTCTTCGGTTTTAGCCACTCTGGAAGAGGTTTTTTTAATAGCTGAAGCAAGTCCACAAGGTTTTTGTTTGGCTGCTTGTAATAACTTTCTAAGAAACGCTGAGATTTTGCATCCATGGGCCCATAGTGCCGACCTTTACCTTTGCCAAGACAATTTGTGCCACCATGAGATGTCACCTGGCAATAAAATCCCTTGCGCTTGTCAAATCTGAAAGAGCAGTGAATAAATATTTGAAACCCATTTGAAATATCTTGTATAATAATAGTAATATGACCAGAAGACAATGACATTTTCAAGTAACACTAATGGAGGATAAAAAGTGTAACTCTTTAACCAAGCTAAAATTTCCTACATCTAGATTTTGGGAGGAGGGGTAGGGAGGAGAACTAGAGATAACATCCATAAGGTAGGTCTTTAAAAAGAAATGGAAAATATAATTTAAAAAATAATTATTAACAGCGTTAACAGACATACCTAAGTCGTTTGTTGTAATCATACACACTAACACCAAGAAACCTTTGCACCTCCAGCATTACATCTGCAGGACGATTCCTTAGTTTATCACCATCAAGGATAAGAATCTAAAAACATAAAACAGTCACTGTTTTAATTAAAAGCTGGTATGAAATTCACACTGTAAATGGCTTTTATGCAAGGTGTCCATTATGAAAGCTTATTATAAGTCTCAGCCCACTTAACTCCTGGACCAAGTTATAAGAAGTTCTGTCAATCTTACTTTTCAAATCAGTGGAGGAAACCCTATGGTGGAAACCTTTTCTGCAAAAATTTTGCTTAGTACTGCATTAATTCTTACAATTTTACATTAAAAAGGAAATTTGAAATTTGGGAGCAATTTTTACTTTGGCCACTCAGTTAGGAGTAAAAGGATTGAAACACGTGTGCAGTACAGTACCGCTCAAAAGTTGACACTCACAAGCCTCTCGCTCCTCTAGACTCAAGACTCAATTCTCGAATCTCAAAACTTTCGAAAATCAAGTCTTGAGAATGAAATGAGTCCCGATTTGAAGAATCGAGTCGAGAAATATAATGAGCTTGTCACTTGACTGTTCTGTTTTAAGGAATCGTTAAGTACACACCAGGCTCTTGGAATTCTCGCTTACTTTTGTGAAGAAACAAAATTCGGTACAGTATAAATACCTGGGAAGGGGAGTAGTATGACAACCATCTCTCTAAATGCTCGGCATACAATCCAGGTGTTAAACATCTTTGACCAAGAGCTCTGACTTCCCTTTTCTCTGTGGTATTTACACTTGTCAAAACTTTATAGAATGGAATTTGCGCTGCAGCCAGGCCATGACTTTTCATGTGCTAAAAGAAAACAATAATAATTATGGAACAGGTCTAGTGGAAACAGCAGATTATGAAGAAGGCAGTGGCAGATCCAGAGTTTGTGTGTGTGTGTGGGGGGGGGGGGGGGGGGGAGGGGGGGTGGGGGGGGTCTGGATCCCCCCCCCCCAAATTTAAATATCCATAAGAACTGAGTACTCAGTACCTAGCTTCAGTTAACTGCCATGAAATTGAAACCAGGTAGGCAGCATGGCCAAGTAATGACCAGCATGTCAAACTTGCTATCACTGGCCCCTGAAAGTCTTCCAAGTTATTAATCTTTGAGCATGAATTTTTTGAGAAGAAAATGAAACAGTAAGGGGTTATTTCACAACAGATTTTACGGGTCTAAGTTTTTGTGACACCAATGAAAGAACCCATGTCGTTGTTCAAAAACACTAAGGGAGGTGAACCTGGTGGTGTGGTCCATTTTTCATGGATGTGGGGACCTTTATGGTCCCATAGTTGACTGTCTTGTTACAGTCACCATGCCAACAATTGACAAAAGCTAGAAAAATAAAATAATAATAAAGAGAAGCTCTGATGTAACTTGTAATGAATTATATACGTACCATACAGCTATCATAGTAAACTTACTTGGTACCAAGAGTAAGCTCTCTTTACTGGATTGAAAAAAATAGTGATGATCTTAGCTTTTGGCAGCAGAGCATGAGCCCTCAATGGTGTTACTTTGCTGTCAAAATAATTTGCGCTCTTCTCAAACAAGATGGTGTTGCTCTTGTTTGTAACATCAGGAAAGAAATCCATATACCTGCAGGGACACAGATCACATGTATTTACTTAAGTTTTGTGTTTGTAGCTGTTTTCTTTTTCTATTTGCTGTAATTGTTGTTGTTGCTGTTAATCTATTCCCTATTACTGTTCCTTTTTTGGGCAGAGGGGGAGGAGGGAGGGGGTTGAGCTTATGAGAGTGTACATTTGCAAGTGCTTATCAATCAAACATGAGGCCCAGTTAGCATAAATTCTGACAGGCGACATGGCCTTATCTTGAGGCAACATAAGACAGATAAAAATAATGGCGACAAACAAAACACAGATGGATTGACACTTTGATGGCAACACAGATAAGCACAAAATCAATAACTAACAGTAGTAGAAAATAAAGACAGGGACAGAGCTAATCCTCCTCAATATGTGAAACAGAGGGTTTTGAAATTCAGAGTAGGGCATGCATACCACTCCTATGAGGAACTGGAGAATGGCTGCTTATCTAAGGAAATAAAAGCAAACTTCACTCACCAGTCAACACCTCTGTTGTAGTTATGTCCGTTGAAGAACTGTACCTCCTCAAAAGTGTTGATACTTTGCTCACTGCTCAAAATATCAGGATGCATTTTGAGAAATGTGTACAGTGCTGTTGTTCCTGTCTTCTGAGGACCAACAACAAGGAAGGATGGAAGTTTATGGCAGCTCTTGTTGAGGTTCCAGATTTTCATATGGCGTGCATCCAAACAGGGATTCTATCCACAAAGAGATCAATCATTACAGTGTTCCAGCAAGGATTATAGGGAGCTTAAACAACCACAATGAGGATGACAACAACAACATCAAAAACAATTGGTTTTATGAGCAAAACAGCCTTGGATGTGCATCACGCATTTTAGTACATTTCTTTGATGTCCACTGCACAACTACGATGTGAAACCACCTAGTGTGATGTTTTATGAAGGATGCGATGAACATACGTCAACAAAGTTTCCTTTCTCTTCTGGATTCAACTCCAGGAGAAATTGCCTACATTTGACAAATATTGATAAAGTTTGAAAGGACACAAATTCATCTTCAGCAATGTTTTCATTGCCATCATCATCATCGTGTGCATCCATTTTAGCTTTTTGCTCCTAGCCCTCCCTGCACTTTCTTTGGGGGGTGGGGGGAGGGTACAGGTACAGGCTGTAAGCACTAGCAGTACCTGTCCTTTTACACCGTATCCAGGCTGAGTTTTCTTAGAGAACCTTGAAAATACCATTTCCAAGCCTCTAGATTTCAAAAATTTGCTGGGGTGGATGCCCCCCACTCATGTCTCTGGCATGAGTTTTCAAGTGCAGCTTCCCACCTCCCCCTAATTGAAATTGCACTCCACTGTCGTTGCAATTCCAGTTTTCTGCATGCACTGGGTATGATGTTACTTATCAGAAAATTACCTGCCATATGGGGTCCACTTCTTCAGGATACATGGAGAAGTAGCGCTCAGCTAAGTCTGTTGGGTGCTCAGAGCTAAGTTTCAAATTAGTCCAGCACTGAAGATATTTTGTTAGGCTATCAAAGACAATTAGTGCTAGGCGGTCATTCCCATAATTTGACAAATGTGTCATGAATACAGAAATCTGTGAATAAAATCAAAACAAAAAAGGCAATCAGTGGTGGCCGGAAATGAACTGGCGTGATCAGGGCTATTTACGGAACAATTTTGCAGCCTCATCAAAACGAGGCTGCAAATAACAGCAACCGTCATCACTGATGAGGAGATCCAGATGGGTTCTGAAAGCTCTTCTAAACTTTCAACAATTGTTGGTGTTAAAGTATAATATTTTTTTGTAATATTAATAATTTATTTGATTACTTACTAGATTATTAATGACAACTTGGAAAAGTTCACCACCATGGATGCTATCTCTTAGTCTCTCTTCTCCTCTTGGATAATCCTTTAGATTTAATGTGTGCGTATAGAGGCCACAGGTTTGACGCGGAAGAACCTAAAAATTGGCCCAAGTGGAAATTAATAATAATGCAGGCGACCAGTGGAGTTTGCAACCCTAATTTCCAGGCTGCTCTTACCCATGTGCTGCACATTTTTTAGCATATATTGAATTTTGTTTCAACTTCTAATAAAAATGAATGGAATTCAAAGAACTTAATCTGACCACACAGTTTTTGATTTTCTATCACTCGTGATCTGATCACGCATATTTTGACCTTTTATCACATGGAACTTGTTCAAAGCAAAGGATTACTGAGCATAAGCATTTTGACCTTGGATCTTGTACGCATGCTATAACCTTTGGACTTACTACTAGATCAACAAAAGCGTTGTCATTAATCCAGCAGTGATCCCCTTTATGCTCACTATTGACTCAAAAGACTTTTAATTAACCCCTTACACCTTATCATGGGTCAACTTTAGGGTATACCCTTAAGTTTAAATTGCAGCCGTTAGAGAATTGACTGTTGTCACCACACATCGAAGTATAGTTACTATTCAAGAATGCTTGTCTTGGTACTACTGTTGTAAAATGTAGATTATTACCTTGATATTTTTATAGACAAAGCCTCTGCGGAACCTTGCTGGATAAATATGGGGGTATTCCTCAGTTGACGTCACTTTTAAACCATAAACTCTCTTCCAAGCCTCATAGAGTATATCATGAGGAGGGAAAACACCCGAGTGGTGAGGAGCAACAGCGTAAGTGGTATTCACAGGAAGTTTATGTTCCTTGTCAAAAAGAAAGAAACAAGGTTATCATCAATCACTTACTTTGATGTTAAAGACTCTTCACACTACTCAGTGTGCAAAGAAAGTCGTGTCCGATAGCCCAGGGCTAGTGGATTTTGCAATCGCACTAGTGAATCCTGTTCTTGACTTGTCCCAAGGGCAAGTGAAGTTTTTTTGGAAATTCAAATTACAGAAGAACTGTAATCAATGCTGCTCATCAAAAATTTTTGTTGGCTACTTAAAAGACTCTTCAGCTAGTACATACCAGCAACAACTTGCCCGAATGGCAAACTGTAAAACTGACTTTCTTTGCAACCTGCTACTCTATACTAAATACACATAAATCCACTTTCCAGCATAACCCCCCACAGAGCCTTAGGATGCGTTCGATTGGGAAATCCGGATTTAGATTTTGAAAATCTAAATCCGGATTTCCCAAGCGAACGTGAAGTCCGGAAACCGATTTCACCTCCCAGAAATCCGTCCTCAGGGTGGATTTCAGTATAGGTAATAGCATGATTTGTAGTGATATTTGGCATAAATACCACGAGTGATATGTCAAAATTGTTATACCTAAATTTCACGAGCCGTTAGGCGGGTGAAATTTGAGACAATTTTGAAATATCATGAGTGGTATTTGTACCAAATATCACATACGAATCATGCTATTATTTGTTTATACTACTACCCGCAAAAGGTTTGTAATTTTCACATGTAGGTATTTCAAATTAAGCTGAAATACCACTGCTCTAAGCCAATCAGATTGCAGAAATTTCTCATGTAGTAGTATAAATTAAGAAATCCAAATCCGGATTTTTTGGATTTCCTTTTTACTGTTCGATTGAGAAATCCAAAAACGGATTTGCAACACTCTTCTCGTGAACAGCAGTCTTCTTTTTCCTAANCACTACTCAGTGTGCAAAGAAAGTCGTGTCCGATAGCCCAGGGCTAGTGGATTTTGCAATCGCACTAGTGAATCCTGTTCTTGACTTGTCCCAAGGGCAAGTGAAGTTTTTTTGGAAATTCAAATTACAGAAGAACTGTAATCAATGCTGCTCATCAAAAATTTTTGTTGGCTACTTAAAAGACTCTTCAGCTAGTACATACCAGCAACAACTTGCCCGAATGGCAAACTGTAAAACTGACTTTCTTTGCAACCTGCTACTCTATACTAAATACACATAAATCCACTTTCCAGCATAACCCCCCACAGAGCCTTAGGATGCGTTCGATTGGGAAATCCGGATTTAGATTTTGAAAATCTAAATCCGGATTTCCCAAGCGAACGTGAAGTCCGGAAACCGATTTCACCTCCCAGAAATCCGTCCTCAGGGTGGATTTCAGTATAGGTAATAGCATGATTTGTAGTGATATTTGGCATAAATACCACGAGTGATATGTCAAAATTGTTATACCTAAATTTCACGAGCCGTTAGGCGGGTGAAATTTGAGACAATTTTGAAATATCATGAGTGGTATTTGTACCAAATATCACATACGAATCATGCTATTATTTGTTTATACTACTACCCGCAAAAGGTTTGTAATTTTCACATGTAGGTATTTCAAATTAAGCTGAAATACCACTGCTCTAAGCCAATCAGATTGCAGAAATTTCTCATGTAGTAGTATAAATTAAGAAATCCAAATCCGGATTTTTTGGATTTCCTTTTTACTGTTCGATTGAGAAATCCAAAAACGGATTTGCAACACTCTTCTCGTGAACAGCAGTCTTCTTTTTCCTAATTATGCGTGGGCGTGCAAGACCACTGTTCTTAAGGACAGTTTAGCAAATCCTTTTTCGGATTTCCCAATCAAACGGTAAAAATGAAAATCCAAAAACAGATATCTAAGCATTGAAATACGTTTTCGGATTTCGCGTTCGATTGCAAATCCGAAATCCGGATTTTAAAATCCAAATCCAGATTTCCCAATCGAACACACCCTTAGTAATCAAGATCAGGAAAGAATAAAAATGCTTAGCATTAAAGGAGTGTACTGAAGAAGCTCCATGTCAGTTATGCAAGGGATAATTTGACACAAGATCACGAACAGGGCTGCAATGGTACAACAAGGCATAGGTGAACCACAATATTTCTTCCTAAGATACACTGGGAGTAGCTCAGCATCAGCTGCTGGCAAATTTAACCATCCATTATTTTTCAAAACTTTTGAAACATGTTTGGGCACATGGTATGGTTTCTTGGGCATTTTTGTATATGTTTCTTCACTAACAAAGATTGTTACATCATTACAAACATAAAAGTCAATTTTGGTGATCTGTACACCTTACATAAGGCTATATAATTATAAAGCCCTGAGCTGCCACAACCATATAATAATATAGGGACTGGGTCAATTGGTGTTTATCGGGGGGGAAGGGAAGGGGGCTACAGGGGGGATTGGTTGATTATATTTGGTGGTACTGCAAAAGAGAGAGTAGACCTCCAGACTTTAGATCTCAAAAGGTTATAGCATCTCTAATCAAAATTCTGTGCATTCAGCCTGCCCCTCACCTTGGCAAATTCTAAGTTTTTCTTCAGATCTTCCACCATCTCTTCTAAAGTGTTCCGTGTATGAGCTTTTTGATGAAGCCACATGTGGCTGAACCACCAAAATTTGTCGGCATTCTTTACTAATTCCCAATCCCCCTCGTCTTCCTCATCATTACCATGTAGGAAATAACCACCAGAGAAACCAAGGTTGAAGTGGAAGCCTGGTACCCGCTCTTGGAGTTTCTTTTGAACTGAAATCATTGCCTGCAATAAACAAATAATGAAACTCAAAAGATGTCTGTCGTCCAATACTTTACAATCAAGAAAAAAATACATATTAAAAACATTTGGCAGGTCAGTAGGGATGCTGGCCGACAAATTTGATTTAAACCCCAAATGGACACCAATCTGGGTATGGCATAGGCTTCACTTAAAGTATAAAAGAGATAGTTCATACATAATAATGAGTCTAAATATGCAATGATGCATTTCAGAGCAGATGCATATATCTCAGGTCAAAATTAAATTCAGGTAAAAAAAATTTTAACCTACAAAAAGTTGATTCTCAATTTTCTTTGTCTCCTAGCCCTAATTCATGAATAATTAGGGCTAGGAGACAAAGAAAATTGAGAATCTACCTGCTTTAAAAAATTTTAACCTAAATTTAATTTTGACCTGTAACACATATGTCCGTCACTTCAGACTCGTGATCATGTATGCCCCTGGCCTGACATATGTACACATATTTTCCAGACATTTATTACTTATATATTTTGGTTTTCTAAGTTCAGGCCCGCACTGTACTAAAACAAACAGCCACATAAGAGCTATAGTGATTGTCACTGTCCTGAAGATGTTAACATTGAATGCTGTGTTTACAGTTTTTGTTATGTGTGTTGTGCAATTGCGATTTTATCAGCTTGCTATGTCCTAGCAGGCCGATGAAAAAAAGAAAATAAAGCATGACTTCTTGCATAAACAAAAATATTTTTCAACACAACGAGTCACACTTTGTCTTCATGTTTTGCAGCACGTGATAGACCACAATTAACTTTTTTTTGCAAAATTTCTTTTTACTAGAAAAAAATAGATTGATATAATAGCAACAACTAGAACATGATAGACGCTCCATGTTTACAAACTGAATCACATAGTCTTTAGTATGTGGCCTTCAGAATTATCGCTTTTCTTAATTACAGACATTACAGACACAACTTGACTGCATAGTGTTTTAAAGTTTCTATGGAAACAGTAAACACAACAAAGTATGATGGGACATTGTTTGTTATATATAAATACAGTCAAACCCCATATATTTAATACAGACATTGAAGGGGGCCATAGAAAGTGTCCGTATTAACAGGTGTCCATATTCAGTGGGTTGAATTTAGAGAAAATATAAGGGTTTTCTTTCCCCAAGGGGCAAAGCAAACTGTCCATAATGGTATGAGGTGTCCATATTAAGCGGGTGTCTGTAAAGCAGGGTTTGACAGTCACTGTACCTGTAATTTATGGATAGCAGTGCTCTCCAGAAAAGTTATAGGACAAGGAAAAAATTAAGTCAGGGCGGGAAGACTAGGCTCTTGCAGGTGGGGGTAGGCATAGATGGGGAAAATACCGTTGAAGGAGTCTGCAGGAGGCCTCCACAAGAAACTTCTTATTTTGGGAAGGAGGCAGTAAGGGGTTATGCTGGAAAGACGTGCATTTATGTGTATTTAAGCAACCAGGAAAATCTTGAACTTTAGCAGTGGGGGCACGCACCATTATAAAAATTTACCCATATTCACTCTGTTTTATATCAAGTGTTAATTCTTGCCCAACTAAGTGTTGAGAAACAAATATGACAGATTTGGCAGAGCTGTCAATTGCAACTCTACCAAATAATCCGGGTGACTCCAGATTTTAGACTGTATCTCCCAGTCTCCTGAGATTAGAGTCTGAAATCTCAAGGCTAATTGCCGAAGTTTGCCATTCTTGTTGACTCAACTTTCCAACAATAAAATTTTAAATATTTTGCATTGTATGAGTTATTTAACTGTTAACGTCAAACATTTCCTCATAAACTCCGGCATGCCATTGTAATTTAAGCGATAATGTGATTGGTGGGAAGTAAACCAATCAGCTTAAATGTTACAAATGCCAACAACATCTTTTTTGTGCGTTTTGTGCCATTGCAAATTTGTGATGATCGGAGTCAACAGGCATTTTTTGCACAAATGATGTCATGTGTCATACCTTATGAAGTCACCTATATATCATCCCTTCCCTATCAATTCTCAATATTTAAAGACATGGGCGGTTGACAGCCCTGGGTAAAAATATTGATTTATCAACCTGAACACCCTAAATGAGACAAAATCTGCAATGTACACCCTTAGGCAAAAAGACAAGCATCCCCGTCCTTTTATTTGGGAGCTCCCCATCCCCTCACCCTAATTCTAGTCCCCCTTGGGACAATTACTCCACAAGCAAAAAGTTCACCCAATTGCATTTAAATGACAGTCGAGACATAACCCAATATCCTGTTGCATAACAGATGTATGCTTTAGTCTGAGCATTGACAAAACAAGTGTCATTGAGTTGGCAGTTATCTCTGAATGCCTGCTCGATACAGACATCGTGACAATTCTGAGATGTTGGCATGTCCCTTTGGAGACTGTATGAACTGGGTTTCAGTGGTACAAGTCATATATTTATACACATGTGTTTTAGAATAATTATTCACATAGGCCAAATTATTGTATCATAAGTGTCTTGAAACAATAATGAACACCCAACTGCATCTCTTTTTCACTTGAAGTAAGCTTATTTACAGATGATGCATGTAATAATTTAGCTGTTAAGATAAATATGTTTTGTTTTTGTTGTTCCCTTTTTGCTTGCTTTGGCATCTCAAAGAGTTTTACAAAAAAAGAATAGTGTAGCTATGGTGAACTTCTCTCTCTTAGAAGCCTCTAAATTATTCAGACACAATTTAGGAACATAATTAAACATTTAAAATAATCTACTTAAAGCAATTTAAATTTGATGTTTACCTGTTAATCTCCTTTAATTTTAAGGAGAGTATCAGTTTTTATACAACAAGACAGCGGGCAGGAAGAAATATTTACATTTTAGTAATAGCTACAATGAGTTCTTTTCAAAAATTTGTGCCTATCAATAACTACATGCCTAACAATTATTTGTATTGAGCAAATCAATAGCATGTTTGTGAAATAATTAAAAATGCTATGGAGAAGCCAAGAAGAGTTTTGAATGATATCTGGCTTTATCAATGCAAAATAAAAGAAACATTGGCTATAAAATATATATATAAGCTACTACCTGTACATCTTCTTTGGTCATGCGAATCCCTGGTCTTCCAACAAATATATCATCGATGTCTACAACAATTTTTCTTTCGAGGGATGGTGCAAATTGCCCTCTAGAGACAAATGACAGGGAGTCGATGAACAATAACTTATGAAGCCAAAAAGACAAGCCACTTCCGAAGTAAACACGTCGTATGCCATCGACGAGTCCAAGATCTGCAAGGACTGTAGTGTATCGAGTTCTTGTGACTTTCTCATGTAGAAAATTGTCCTCTTGATTATCGAGGTGCAATGTTGTAGTCGTGACTTCCAGTGTCGCAAATTCAACAGCTTCGTAAGTGCTATGATTTGGAAAGAACACGTTCCATTTTGAACTCGTAGGTTTCTCAATGATACCGCCTGCTCGAGTGAGTCTAAGTAAGCATGCCTTTGGATTAAGTTCGACATCTTGAAGATTGTCAACACCCGTCTTAATAGCTAAGTGAAATTCTTTGAATGCATGTATATCAGGTTCGTACACTTCTTGTTCTGAAAATAAAATAATTCCAATAGCGAATTTACGACAATAATCGTCGATCAATTGTTTGTTGGCTTTTCCTAGCGCTAAATAAAACTTGATGCTTTCAAATATCACAGCAGAAAACTTTCCAACACCAAAATTCGTCAGCTCTGGAATAACCGTTTTGTCTCCTGGTTCGAGATAAACAAATTGATGAGGGAAGCGATTTGCTTCTAATTCTGCAGCGATCTCCGCTCGAAACGTTATGGAAGTTTTTCGAATTGCAACCAAGAGTCTTTTCTCTAGTTTGTGAGATATGTTGTTCCCTAACTCGTAGAGTTCTGGAGATCCTAAATGAACAGTGCTTGAAGTTCGTCGCTGATAGCATTTTTCTTCTGTGAACACGGGCGCACGTTTCACAGCTTTCAAATCCTTCGAAGCGTGGTACACTAAAATCCAACATGATATTATGCTTAAGATGACTAATCCAATAAAAAACCTTCGAAGAATCGATCCAGTGCGAAATCGCCACAATCTCATTCTTTCTTCTGCATCGAAACGTACGCAGCTTGAACAAGCTACATGTTCTTACGTATGAATACACGCCGCATGTGCAAAACACAACGAGTAGGGTAGGGAGAATAACAAAATTATCATAACATTGACCTTGAACGTTCCAACACGACGAGTTCAAAAATATCAGTAAAGTAAAGCAGCAATATATTCTTTAGTTCAATACAGATAAATCTAAATTAAAAGATATGATTGAACTTCTTTGATAATAATCAAATCTGGGACTGAAAATTGGAAGTTACTTCAAAGCACCCTCCATTCCCTTATAACCCTTTTTAAATCAGAAATGTTTTTCGCGCATTTTTGAGCCGTCAAACAGGGAAGTTTGGTGCTAACGTACGTATGACCAAATATCCATCCCTTCCTAAGGAGTCTGCAGGAGGCCTCCACAAGAAACTTCTTATTTTGGGAAGGAGGCAGTAAGGGGTTATGCTGGAAAGACGTGCATTTATGTGTATTTAAGCAACCAGGAAAATCTTGAACTTTAGCAGTGGGGGAACGCACCATTATAAAAATTTACCCATATTCACTCTGTTTTATATCAAGTGTTAATTCTTGCCCAACTAAGTGTTGAGAAACAAATATGACAGATTTGGCAGAGCTGTCAACTCTACCAAATAATCCGGGTGACTCCAGATTTTAGACTGTATCTCCCAGTCTCCTGAGATTAGAGTCTGAAATCTCAAGGCTAATCGCCGAAGTTTGCCATTCTTGTTGACTCAACTTTCCAACAATAAAATTTTAAATATTTTGCATTGTATGAGTTATTTAACTGTTAACGTCAAACGTTTCCTCATAAACTCCGGCATGCCATTGTAATTTAAGCGATAATGTGATTGGTGGGAAGTAAACCAATCAGGTTAAATGTTACAAATGCCAACAACATCTTTTTTACGCGTTTTGTGTCATTGCAAATTTGTGATGATCGGAGTCAACAGGCATTTTTTGCACAAATGATGTCATGTGTCATACCTTATGAAGTCACCTATATATCATCCCTTCCCTATCAATTCTCAATATTTAAAAACATGGGGGGTTGACAGCCCTGGGTAAAAATATTGATTTATCAACCTGAACACCCTAAATGAGACAAAATCTGCAATGTACACCCTAAGGCAAAAAGACAAGCATCGCCGTCCTTTTATTTGGGAGCTCCCCATCCCCTCACCCTAATTCTAGTCCCCCTTGGGACAATAATTATTACTCCACAAGCAAAAAGTTCACCCAATTGCATTTAAACGACAGTCGAGACATAACAAATTATCCTGTTGCATAAAACATGTATGCTTTAGTCTGAGCATTGACAAAACAAGTGTCAATGAGTTGGCAGTTATCTCTGAATGCCTGCTCGATACAGACATCGTGACAATTCTGAGATTTTGGCATGTCCCTTTGGTGACTGTATGAACTGGGTTTCAGTGGTACAAGTCATATATTTATACAAATGTGTTTTAGAATAATTATTCATATAGACTAATGGGTGATTCCAGAAAATATCCATACCATACCACGGGCGGCATCTTGGAATTCCGAGGGAGAGGGGGGGTTTCTTGGACTGGAATTCCAAAGACGTGGGGGGGTAACGCAGTTTGGAATTCCAAAGGCATGGGGGGGTGTTTCAGCTCTGAATTCAGTGAATTTCCAGAGGAAAGACGGCGAAAGCTCCGCTTGAAATCGCTGACCTGTTAACATTCCCAGTTTGTAAATGAAGCACGAACCGACCACGGAAGAAGTATG